ATATATATATATATAATAAAGTTGGTTTTGATATCGGGCATGCACAGGATCATCAGGTTCTAAAATTAAAATCTATGTAGTGCTTTGAAGAATCATGATTAAATCATGCTGACACATGGTTTATGTGGATTTTCTTCCTTTAAGGTCTGAAATCAATAATGTTCATTGTATTTGAACTTCAAAACTTTATTTTTTAACTGCTTTTAATGTCTTGATGAGCATGTGCTCGTTTATTTTACATATTTTAGTTATATATTTCTGTGTGTAGAGTAAACATGTTCTCTTGATATTACAGGATCATCCGTGATATCATTCAAAACCATTTGCTACAGGTACCCCTCTCTAGAAATTTGTCTTACTTAATTGGAATAAACTATTCAATAATATCTCTAGATATGATTGAAAGTCGTCTTTTTTATTTTTCGATTTATAATTTTCTCATGTTCTTGTTAAACTTTTTTAATGGTGGAAATTTTCGTTCTGTCTATCTAGGCTTTTAGACCTTTTAGGAATTTTTAAACTTTGCACCCAGCACATGGGTTTACTAAAGGTCGAGACTAGGTTTTCAAAGCTGAGTTTTTAATTTGGTTACTTTATTGATTGTTTCTCCCTAAATCTGACTTGTTGAATATTTCTTAAGAGCTTTGATAGTGCTTTTTAAGGTATCCTATTTCTTTGACATGGCTTTGTATTGTGGGCTGGCTTAGAATAGGACCTAGCCATTACACAAGTTGAACATTTTCTTTCCTTCCAAGTTACTCTGAACTACTACAATCATGGTATGAGATACTCCTGTTAGTGAAGCATTGTAGCTTCATGCTTGAATACCAAGCTCTTGGTTATTTTAGTACAGCAGCAGTGAATCAACTTACGTGAATAGTTTATTTTACCGTGCTTGTCTGTTCTTATAGAGATTGAGCTTTTATGGATTGATGATATGCCCCTTCTATAATATTTTGGTTCATATAATATGGTCTTCTGTGAAATTTTTTGTGTTTCGTCTCATAAATGTTATGCTGCCAATGATGATTTCTTATTTTATTTCTTAATTTTGAACCTTCTCAGTGACTTATTCTTCTCTGTATAGGTCTTTTGCTTGGTTGCCATGGAGAAACCAATATCTCTTAAGCCTGAGCATATTCGGGATGAGAAAGTCAAGGTTTGTGCCTTCTACTTTTGAACGATATCTCTAGTTCCCTCTTAGGTCTCCCTCCTGCCGGCTTTCTAAATCTTTCATCATAGTTGAGTGTTTCTAAGACACTCTATTATCCAGTTTCTGCAATCAGTCTTACCAATTAAGGATGAAGATGTAGTTCTTGGACAATATGAGGGCTACAAAGATGACCCAACTGTTTCAAAGGACTCAAACACCCCAACCTTTGCAACTGCGGTTTTAAGGATACACAATGAAAGATGGGAAGGTGAGGCATAATCTTACATGTGGAACTTGGTCCCGTAGTGTGCTCTTTATTTTCCAAGCTTTATATTATCTTGAAATTTGTGAATCCCATTGCTTTCTATCATCATCCAAGCCTTATCCTAACTATTTGGGGTCGGCTACACATATCCCATTGTTTTCTATGTTATTTACCAATAATAAAAAATTTATTTGATCAGAACTCATGTTTGGCTTATTTTTGGCAGGGGTCCCTTTCATCCTCAAAGCTGGAAAGGCACTTAATTCAAGAAAAGCAGAAATACGTGTGCAATTTAAGGATGTTCCTGGTGATATCTTTAAATGTAAGATCATGTAATCTTTCATTTGGATTTCAGAATTGTTTTTGACTGCTTTTTCCTTACATATAACAATCCTCAGCTACAAGTAACTTCAATGTTAATTTATAATATTGATTTATTAGTCTAGATCTTTGTTTGATAAAATATTGATTTAGTAGTTAGATTTTTATTGCAATTTTCTTAAAACATTATTTCAACTGAACAGCATGGTCGATTTTGTGATGTTTTTGCAATTTGTGTCCCGCATGAATTTCCAAATAACTTGCACTTGTTTTCTTTTACATTTTGCATGTGAGTCAGACTGCCTAATTTTCAATCAGAAAAAAAAGGCGGGGCAACCGGTTCTTTCATTATCTCTTGTTCTTAAAATCGTTTTTAGTTAAACTTCTTCAGCTGTTTAAAATAACTAACATTACCATTACAATCTGCCGCCCAATGAACAAGAAACAAAGAAATTGCTTCCTTTGGGGCCTACTAGATCGTTTTGCCTCTGAATCTCTCTTGATCAGATACCAAGTGTTGAACAGTGATATATGTGTCTTATTAATTCCTAGTTTTCAATCAGAAAAAAAAGGCAGGGCAGCCGGTTCTTTCATTATCTCTTGTTCTTAAAATTGTTTTTAGTTAAACTTCTTCAGTTGTTTAAAATAACTAACGTTGGCTTGACAATCTGCCCCCCAATGAACAAGAAACAAAGAAATTTCTTCCTTTGGGGCATACCAGCTCATTTTGCCTCTTAATCTCTCTTGATAAGATATTAAGTGTTGAACAGTGATAAATGTGTCTTATTAATCTATGAATGGGTATGTTGATCAATATGTTGCACATAGCTCTCCGATTTATTAAGAAAATGCATACCATTCACAAATCTCTCTCTAAAACAAGAGAGTAAAAGGGCAGCCAATAAAAATGGGCATGAAATGGATGTTGTGGGGGAGGTTTGTGGTGGGAATGGAGGAGAATATGTTGAACTTTTTCTAAAGTCCAATTGGTTTTAAACTCCAAGGACCATCATGCAGATTTTGTTCTATGCCCCCTCTTGCTCAACTCACATTTATGGAGCTTACAGATATGTGGACTTACATGGAACTCTGGTTAAATCATTATCTGTTCATTTATGCATTCTGTCATTATGGAATTCTATAGCTGTCCCAAAGTATGGAATGTTGAGGATAACTAGACATCTTGGATGTCTAATTAGTTTCACAAGTTACTATCTTCCTCATTTATGTCCAAATTCTCTGGTTTGCCTCAAACATTTTGCTGTAAGTTTAACTCGTGTTTAACTACTCGGCTGAGTCCATTCAGACTCAGCTGAGTTACTCGGACTTAGCCTTTGGCCAAGCTGAGTACCAGAGGATAACTAGGGTATATTAAAAAAAAAAAATTGAAATTTAGGGTATGTTAAAAAAATAAAAAATAAAAACGTAAAATATATATGAATTTATAGGTTCAATGCATAATAATTATTTGTGCGATTTGGATGTGTTTTACAATGTCAAATGCCATATTTTTGTATTTTCGTTTTTTTTCTGTGGATTTTTTTGAAATGTCTCCAACCATCATCATCAAAGCCTTTTCTCAACTATTGGGATTGGCAAACAAATCCTGATCTGCCATTCTGTTCCATGCTTCACTTATGGGGAATGCCCTAACATAAGCAGATATCGCAGATTCAGGATTCCTGTATAGTTGTGGCAAAGTTTTACGTTGGTTGCCTACCTAATACAACCCAGCCTACCTAATACAACCCAGCCTACCTAATACAACCCACCCTTTTTACCCCTGACTTGGGACGAGTTAAGGGAAAGTTTAAGGTTTTCACCCTTAGACCATTTGGAATGTCTCCAACCGTAATCAATTTTCCTAAATACATGTTTTTTATATTTTTTTCGGCTTATTTGAATTCTTTATGTTAGTTTTTAGTTTTGTTTCACTTTAAAATTTATTTTATTTTTTTCATATTTTTTAAAAATTTTGTAGGGATTTTTGGGCCCTGTACTTTACTCGGCCGAGTCCATTTGGACTTGGCCGAATCAAAACAAATTGGTTTTATTAGTCTCCAGAAAAAGTTAAAAAGTCCTCATCCTAGCTTTGCGCAGGTAAAAAGCAAGGGAGAAATGAATTTGTTATTCGGTTGCAGCCTTCTGAAGCCATGTATATGAAGCTCACAGTAAGTTCTTCCATCTGTTTTAATGTTCCAAAAAAAAAGGTTCTACCTTTTGTTTAGCCCTTGTATGTTATGCTTGCCACAATGCTAGAGTTGTATCTTTTGAGGCAAGTACCTCGATGTTTGTTGACCTAATTAATCTGTTCACAAAATTGTAGTGCTTAATGTCATTGGATATGCTTCATTGCTTGTCTAGATAAATCCCTAAATGTGAGAGTCTACAATAGAAATGCTCAAGACATATCCCTAAATGTGAGAGTCTAGGAGTGCAATTAGCAAGTTTCTGACAGGGTCATTTGTGTTTGGATCTTACCAAGGACATAGTTCTAGCTCTTCCATACACAAAATGAACATACAGTGTGTACATATGCTTCTGTCTTGTGGATTCTTCTTTCTGTGGTTCATGATTCCTTTGCTTGTTCATGGAGCATTGGCTATGTCGTCAAACTAGACTTGATCTTCTTTTTTGTTTTGAGTTGATGTATTTGAACTTTGTAGAGTTATTATGGTACATATTTGGTGGCTACTGAGGTAATGATTTTTCTTGAGGCTAGTATTGTCTGGTTTGGATTGGCTGTTATTTTTTTATTTTTTTAATACCATCATGGAAGGCTGGCAGTGCTTTTGAATATTTGTAATTTTAATGAAATCCATTTGACGTTTTAAGCTTGTATTGCAGGTCAAGCAACCTGGATTGGAAATGTCCACAATACAAAGTGAACTAGACCTGTCATATAGGCAGCGTTATCAGGGGGTTACAATTCCTGAGGCATATGAACGGCTAATTCTTGACACGTATGTCCCAAGTCTCTTGCCATTTCATAACCTTTTTGCTGTTGGAATCATCTTGGTCAATATTTGTGTTATTTTAGCATGCGTAGGAGAAGATGTGGGTGGATCTTTTGCTTGCTTTTGCAATCTGTGATTAGTGTTTTATTTTCCAAGAAGAATGCTGTTGTATGAATCTCAGTGCTTCCAAGGCTTTTCTTGATGTATAAACTTGTTTTCTATAGAAATTATTCAGGGTTCTGATCCCATTTGAAGAAGGCGTACTTTTGGTTATTTCATTCCATTACCAATAGTAATGGAATGAAAAAATGGAAGAACAAATGGAACCCTAGAAGTAGATGGCGATATTGATATTGTTAACAGAAGACATAATAGCCTATGTCCCTACTATCCTCAAAGGTTGAAGTTGTGCTATAGAAAATGAATTAGGCATTAAAACTCTTATTGACCTTTTAATGCGTCTTTATGTTAACCTTTGTGTAATGGTTCTCTGTGTCGCTTTCATCACATAGTGGGCAGTCCTTGCTTCCCACATGAGGACAATCACAGAAATATACTAATACGTTCTTCACCCAAAGACTTGATTAGTGAACATGAACTAGATTTCTGGTTAAAACTAGCTTAGTAAGAGAGTACTCTGGTCTGATAATGAGCAACCTGAAACTTCTTTGGAAATGCCCATTATAAGGTCTCTCAGATGTTAGTGCCTTTTATGTTCTATTTGTGGAAAATGGAGGTGACTTTTGTCTCAGTGTATTGACTAATCGGCAATCCTGTATTTAGGATACGAGGGGATCAGCAGCATTTTGTTCGTAGGGACGAACTGAAGGTACTCTCTCTCTCTCTCTCTTTCACACACACACAAAAGCACACATATACAACAAACAGAGACAATACTAATATCCTCTGTTTAACGATTCTCTTTATTTTTGAGATGTACTTGATATCAAATGATATTTCTCTTTATTATCAGGTGGCTTGGGAGATTTTCACTCCTCTGCTTCATAGAATTGATGATGGGGAACTGAAACCCATTCCCTACAAACCAGGTAGCCGGGGCCCAAAGGAAGCTGACGAGTTGCTCTCTAGAGCAGGCTATGTGCAAACCCATGGCTACATATGGATACCACCTACCCTATAATTAAAGGCATCAACCTATGTGCAAACTCGTGGCTACATATGGATACCACCTACCCTATAATTAAAGGCATCAACCACTAGAACATATTGTGAGGTTTGCTCAGCCTCAAGAACTATGGCTTCCTTCTTATGGTTTACTGAGAGTGGTGGTGCCTTTGGTATGTTCAATGTACAATAGCTGGAGTAATAAAGGTATTTGGTGTGTGCTCTCTCCTTGTGCTATTAATTCTTTGGCTTTAGGATGGCCTCCTAATGCGTTGTAGTGTTCTCTCTCTAACTAAAAGATTTGTTGTTATCATTGCCTCTTAACTAAAATATTGGTATCCTTATCTCACTCTCTCTCTCTCTCTCATATCCGTAGTTAACTACCCCATATTGCATTCCACTTCTGTTTCTTATTCGAAGGTTGAGTGTCAGATTGGGGCTTGCAATGGGGTGGTAGGATTCTCTACAAAGAGATCATTTACATTTTTGTATAAGGAGGTCACGATGATTTTTATCTTTTGAATTTTAAAAATGGGTACTTGTAAGAGCGATTGAATAGACAGTTTGAAAAAAAAACATTTTGGATTTCGTAATTCACCTCAATCTATTCAATTTGACATGACATTAATGAGTAGGAACAATGTTAATTTTCTAATAATAAAGATAAATAGTCCCTGTATAGACGATCTCTAGTTTTATTCAAACATTTTTATTTGGATCGAGGGGTAAATGTGGTATTTGATTGTGGCATGACTTTTCCTAGTTTGACTCTTGGATTTGGTCCAAAGGTCTTCATCGTCACAGGTCTTCCTAAAAATGAAAGGATTGGGTAGGTCTTCATCCGTTACATGTCTTCCTAAAAATGAAAGGATTGGGTTTAATTGCCAAAAATAGTTGCTGCAAAGTCGGGAAAACCTAGGTTGTTGAGAGAGAGAGCAACTTCTTGCCAGAAGTGTTATAGAGGTTGGAGAGAGAGAGAGCAATTTCTTGCCCGACGTTTTACAGAGAGGTGTGTAGGTAGAGAGAGAGAGATTTATTTCAAAAAGATGCTTTATATAGAGGTGATTGGTAGAGAGAGAGAGAGGTCTCTCTGAAAAAGACGTTCTAAAGAGAGTTGCATTGGTAGAGAGAGAGAGGTTGAGATTGCTCGAGAGAATTGTTATAGAGAAAGGAGCATTGATAGTACTTAGAGGCAGTATTTATGTTCTATTGAGGAAGAGGTAGTGGAATTCTGTTAAAGACCGGAGCTCTTAGAGAGAGAGAGAAAAAAAAGGGGGCACATCTCTCATTTCGAAACAATGGCCTCAACAGAAGGCAATAGGTCGTTTGGGTTGTCATGGGCTGATCAATGGGATAGTGGCCCCTCTGAACCAACCCCTATTTACAAGGAGATGGAGAAGCCAGCAAGCGATGCGAGAGAGCGGCCTGGAAAGACCAAAGAAGGTGCATCTGCCAGTTTTAAGAAGGTGATGACAGGCACACTTTCCGGAATTCGGTGGATGAAAGAGAAATGCAACAAAAAAACACACAAGTAGGCCACAGAAATTCTCATTCTGGCTGTTGTTCTTGTATTTTTTAATTTTTGTTAATTATTAATATTTTTATTGAATCTATTGAGAATGAGATTCATGGTATTATTCTTTTTCAAGAATATTGAACTACCAACAATTGAAAAATAAGTAATTTTTGAGGTGGGGGTGGGTTCCAAAAAAGAGCCATGGCATTGTAGAGAGATAGTTTTCCTTTGAGGTTTTAGGTTGATTCAATTTTCACTTCTAGAAAGAGAAAATGTCTATTCGTTACTCTTAATATTCTATTTTCTATAGTGGTGTAACCGTGGGAAAGACCGATAGTGTTGCCCGGTCAGAAGAGCGGGTTTAGAAAATAAATTAGTGAGGTTTTTGCTGATGTTTATATATATATATATATATATATATATATATATACTACACACGACGTAGTATACTAACTACTACTACC